GGGTGGTCCCCCCCCCCCCCGCGCGCCGCCGCCCCCGCCACAGCAGATGCTGCTGGATAGCCTAGTGCTGGTTTGATACCTCTTAATAATCAGAGTAATATTCGTCTCCCCCTCCTGTTTTGCAGGAATACTGATGATTATCCAGGTATCCTGAATTAACTCTTTTTACATACTTCACATGCCCTTCTTAAGCAGAAGGTATGCTTGATTTTGAGTGCTGCTCTTGGTAAATAGATACTCTCAGCACCGCTTTCTGAATCTCCTTCCTCTCAGGCTTGAAATTAATTAAAAAAATTCTGGCCCACCAATCAACTTGCATTCCTTCCCAAAATGTTCTTACCAAAATAACACATAACACTGACACCGGTTTTTCAAGCTGCCAAGGTTTGTTTATCAGGATACCAACACCGGCCAAAATCCCAATGAAGTCCATGTACCGCAGAGACTCTCTCCCTATCACACACACTTCCTCTTTCAAAAAAAAAAAAAAAGTGGCTTCACAATCTAAGCTTGATGAGTTGATGGCAGTTGTATTGAAAGGAGACCTGAAAAAACTTCTCTCACTTCCAACAGAAAGCAGTTCCCAAAAACATTTTTCCCCCCTGCCAAAGCTTTAACGCAACACTTGCAGAAAAAGAAAATGAAAGGCTTTTCACTGAGGAAACCAGCCAGCTGTGCGGGAACATGCCAGACGAATGAAGACCAACCTTTCAGTGGTGCCTGCTGCCAACAACTATCAGCTATTGCCCAGGTACCGCAGCGTCCAGCCCCGTCAGGGTCATGCTCTGGGCGTAGCAGCATCTTAGTGTATCAAAGTGCTCACTAGTAGACAGATGTCAAACTTCAATCTTTTTTAGAGCAGGAACAGGAAAAAGGAATCTTCTTTCAATTAGCGCTAAGAAATTACACGTACTACTTCCTCCTCCTTGACCCACTTACTATTTTGTAAGAAACAAAGAATCTCAGCAAAAGGGATGAAGGAAACCATTGAAGAAAAAAAAAGCAAGTTATGATGGTACCAGAGTGTTCACCCAGGGAGAGGAAACACGTCCCTTCACCTCTCCCCTAAGCTGGGCAGTGACTTAGACCACGAGGCACGCGAGCTGAGCTACGTACGCCTTCTCCTCGGCTCTCTTCCCCTGCCGTTCCTGAGAGGGACACATCCAACACCTCGCTGCCAAGCATCACGCAACATTACTGAGCACGCCCGGAATCACTGCGGTCACTTAGGGATCTTTCAGTGCCACCACAGCTGAGATGGTAAGTTTTGGGGTATAAAGGGTAACTGAAGATCTAAACTTTGGATTGCCCAGGTATCCGACTTTAAAGTATCTCAGTTTAGGCCGTCTCACTAGCCTTTCACTCAGATTTTTTTTTTTACAGCAGCAATACTCCACTAGTGTAGAATATACATACTCGTAATGAACTCGCACCTACTCTTTGGAATACTCCATTTATTTCTAGCTTCCAAGAACAAGACATGAATTACTACACTTGGATTTTGTTTCGCAGAAAGTGAACAGGAACAGGAAAAACATGCCAAGGGATTAGTTGTAAGTCATGTAGCGGGGTGTAGCACTGAATTTCGCATACGATTTAATGACTTTGTTCACTGCTTCTAAGAAGTCTTTCTCTGTTGCGATTTTTCGACGTGCTCGGATAGCAAACATGCCTGCCTCCGTGCAGACACTGCGAATCTCAGCACCTTTGAAAGAAAGGGATACTCAAATTCAACATTGACCACCAGTGGAGAGCAAGCATATACAAAACTGTTTAAAAAAAAAATAAAAATTCAGCTTACCTGTGCTATTAGGACACAGCCGAGCCAACAGCTCAAATCTTATGTCTCTTTCAACACTCATCGAACGAGCATGTATCTTGAATATGTGAGTTCGTCCCTGAAAAGAAAAAGTGAAGGATAGAAGTGTTCACACTATGAAAGAGGTGATGACTCTCAGTGTGCAGCTGTCCACATCCAGAGCAAGGGCAGATGAAAATAAGTATTTTATTTGCTGCCCAACTATAGTTTCCTATGTCTGGACTAGCATGTTTAAGTGTTCATGCTATTGTATTAAAAAAATAACTCCAAAAAAGAGCTTTATGGTAGAAGTACCTCAAGAAATCTCTCTCAAAAGAGACAAACATAACATTCCAACTGAAGAACCGAATCACGGAACTGGTTAAAGGTCTCTTTATCTGGTAAGTCAGGAATATACAATGACCGGAGCTATTTACCAGTGGAAATCAGGAATCAACACAGTGTGGGAAAACCTTTTTGGCACATCTTTAATCCCCAAAATTTCCATGTAGTTTCACGTAAGTTAAGAGTGCTGCTTGTGTTAATTCTCATGAACTGCTTCCAGACACTAGCACCCTCGCTGAAGAAACACTCTGACATAAGAATATACTTAGCTGTGAAAGAAAGCATTCTCACCTCAAGATCAGGCAAGCTAAACTCTATCTTCCTATCCAACCTGCCAGGCCTCATCAGGGCTGGATCCAGAGTATCAGGTCTGTTTGTAGCCATCAGCACCTTGATGTTGCCTCGCGGGTCAAAGCCATCCAGCTGGTTGATCAGCTCCAGCATAGTGCGTTGCACTTCATTGTCACCACCAGCCCCGTCATCAAACCGAGCCCCTGGAGAGAGGAGACACACGTGTTCACGAAATGCGAGAAGGACCTTCAGAGCCTAGAGGAGGTGTCACAGCTGCTACACAGAAAACACCCAGAAAAATAATTTTAAATTGCTTACAAATATTTGTGACAAGTTTAAAAAAAAGTGTGAGGGAGTTATTTGAAAATGACACATTTCAACCAAAGAGTGAGTGGTGTTATCTGTCAGTTGTAACACGCACTGTATCTTCATCTTTAGCCTGAAAGGGCCTATCTCGCTGCTAATAACTGGCCAAGCTGCTGAAATTTATACATGTAGTTTGTTTAGGTTTTTTACATCCCCTCAACCAAAATCCTTGCCCCCTTGTCTGTGTAAAAATT